CCTTCATCCCTTCTCTCTCTCTCTCTCTCTCTCTCTCTCTCTCTTTCTTTCTTTCCCACCTTCTTCTCTTCTCTTTTTTTCTCCTTTCCCTCTTTCCCGCCTTCTTCCTTTCTCTCTCTTTCTTTCCCTCCTTCTTTCCTTCTCTTTCTTTCCCTCTTTCCTTCTCTCTTTTTATCCCCTTTCCTTCCTTCTTTCCTTCCTTCTTTCCTTCCTTCTTTCTTTCCCTCTTTCCTTCATTCTTTCCTTCTCTCTACTCTCTCTCTTTCCTTCCCTCTTTCCTTCTTCTGTGGCCCAACTCTAGTGAGAAGGGGTTTAAACTTTAAACCCCTTCTCTCTTCACTCCCCACCCCTGCAGGCCAGCTGGGGAAGGGAAGGGGAGACATTTGAAGATGCCTCCCCTCCCTTTCGCTTCCCCTTCTGATATCACTTCCAGTGATGTCAGGGGGTGTGGCATATGCTAATAATCTAGTAGCTCATTAGCATACCATACGCTAATGAGCTCCTGCAGCTCTTTTTCTACAAAAAGACCTGTGTGTGTGTACTGGCCATCTGCAGTAACCTTTACAATGCATTTTCCTCTTCCCTAAGTGCTACCCCCTAAAGTACATTAAAATGTCCAGATATTCAAAAGTACAGCTGTGGGAAGTCTCTCTGACTGCTCTTCTGAGAACGCTTTTCTAGAAGTTGCCCCACTGACCAAGCTTGGCCATACTTCTGAGTAGACCCTCTCTCACCTCTCAGAGACCATATGCCCACAAGTTTGAAAAGTCCTTTACATCAGGACACTGAATAAGCAACCATTACCTGGCTGCAAAGAAAGAGGAGAGTTAGACATAGGGTTGCTCAAGTGACTGAAGAAAAAAATCAACTTTGCTGATTACCAAAATGACCCTTTTAAATGGAAAACAATATCGTCAAGCTGTCCAAATGTCACCTTTTGTGATTAATATAAATCAGGTATTCCAGCGCTTCTGGCTCTTCACTGCCTTCTGATCAACTTTCCTTCTCCAGTTTTCAGTCTTCTTATATATCTATACGGTTCCTTCTGTCCCTCAGTCACATCTAGGAAGAGTTTCCCCAGCCCAACTGACCTCTGAGAACAGCTGGATTGGTTACAGACATTGTGTAGTAGGGGGTGTTGCTGCTCATTCAGCTCAAAAAGAGTGTGAATTTTCCATGTATGTCGCAGCTCAATCATTAACTGAAGTAGACAAGATGACCATCGCCGGATCCATTGGAGCACTGCAACACAGGCTAATAATACAACCCCAAGATAGAACACTTTCCTGGAAGCGAGCACCATTGTATAGACTGGAGTAGGATTCTAAGTAGACATGCTTAGGATTGCTCAAGCTTCAAGTAGGATTATAAGAACATAGGATGAGCCCTGATGGATCAAAACAGTCACCCATATGGTCCAGCATCCTGTTTCATACAGTGGCCAACCAGTTCCTCTGGAGGGCCAACAACAGAGCATAGTGGCTAAGACCTTCCATGATGCCTCCTGGCAATGGAATTCAGAGGCTGACTACTACCTCTAAATGTGGAGGTTCCCCTCAATCACCATGGCTAGTAGCCACTGATAGACCTATCCTCCATTAAGAACATTAGAACATAAGAGAAGCCAATGTTGGATCAGGCCGATGGCCCATACAGTCCAACACTGTCACACAGTGGCCAAAAATACCAGGTGCCATCAGGAGGTCCACCAGTGGGGCCAGGACACTAGAAGCTCTCCCACTGTTGCCCCCCCCCCAAGCACCAAGAAGACAGAGCATCACTTGCCCCAAAGTTCCTAATAGCTACTGATGGACCTCTGCTCCATATGCTTATCTAATTCCCTCTTGAAGCCGTCCATGCTTGTAGCTGCTGCCATCTCCTGTGGCAGTGAATTCCATGTGTTAATCACTCTTTGGATGAAGAAGTACTTCCTTTATCTGTTCTAACCTGACTGCTCAGCAATTTCATGGAGTACCCACGAGTTCTTATATTGTGAGAAAGGAAGAAGAGTACCTCTTTCTCTACCTGCTCTATCCCATGCATAATCTTATAAACCTTGATCATGTCACCCCTCAGCCGTCGTTTCTCCAAGCTAAAGAGCCCCAAGTGCTTTAACCATTCTTCATATGGAAAGTGTTCCAACCCTTTTATCATTCCAGTTGCCCTTTTCTGCACTTTCTCCAATTCTATAATATCCTTTTTGAGGTGTGATGACCAAAACTGTACATAGTATTCCAAATGAGGCTGCACCATTGGGTTATACAGTGGCATTATGATACTGGCTGATTTGTTTTCAATTCCCTTCCTAATAATCCCCAGCATAGCATTGGCCTTTTTATTGCAGTTGCACACTGTCTCAACATTTTCAGTCAGTTATCTACTACAACTCCAAGATCTCTCTCTTGGTCAGTCTCTGCCAGTTCAGACCCCATCAACGTGTATTTATAGTTAGGATTTTTTTCTCCAATGTGCATCACTTTGCACTTGGCCACATTGAACCCCATTTGCCACCCCATTTTCTAAACTGAAAAGTCCGAGACTCTTCAGTCTTTCCTCATAGAGTAGGTGCTCCCTCATCATCTTGGTTGCCCTCTTACGGATTTTTTTTCTAGCTCTGAGATGTCTTTTTTGAGACACAGTGACCAGAATCACTTTCTCATCTTGCTAAACCCTATCCAAATATTCTTTCTTAAGCTTTTCAGATGAAGCAACAGACCAATGGAACAGAAAATAGGACATACCTGGAGACTGTGTCACATTTGAAGCAGTTTTTGTGTAAACCACTTGACAACCGTGCAACAGGTAACTTCAGTATTAACTGTCAATGAAAAGGATCAAAGATAGACATGAGAACCCTGCATTAATTACATATGTGTGCAGACAGGATGCTTTCTGGCCCCACCCCTATATGTGTTCAGTATAACATGTGTGTACACATACTATATGGGCACAGGATCTACAAACATGATTGGTGACCTTGAATTTTCAGGATTTTCTGTTGTATAGAACAAAGCCTGTATACATACTGTTTCCATGCCTGCTGGCTCCGTCCACAAGTTATTAAGAATATGCGTGGAGAGAGAGATGGCCAATGCATACAGTCTCACTCCTTTCTGCATGCATTCAGTGTCCATACTGTTGATTTACAATTATAACGTGCCCTTCCCCTGCTGGACACTTGTATCAAAGCTACTTTCTGACCCACAGAAATAGATGAGTTAAATAACTGCTTCACCTACTCTCTAGTCTCCAGTGCAACCTGTTAAAAATGGCAAAAAAAAAACCTGAGAAAAAAGAACTGCATGGTTAAGTATAATATATAATTTTGTTCCAAGATACAGATTTTAAATATATAGATACAGATATAGATACAGACCTGTTTATTTACAAAGGCAAAAGAATTAATCAGGAAATCAACAGCAATCTACAGTGACAAAAGAAGGCACCTGCCTTTCATCTGTTTGTCCACGGCATGCATAACTCATCAGAAAAATAAAGTTGGGTGTTTCAAAACTGGCCACCGACTTCAACATGATGATGGAAGTCCAAAAATGAAGGCAATTGGAACCTTCTGGCCCAGATTAATTCTAGAATACTCTCTGATCCATGTTATTTATTGTGGGAGCACCAGGCTCTCTGTGGCAGACACATGACTCATCAGGGAATAAACCTAGCGGTTTCAATGTTGGCCACTTGCCTCAGGATGATCATGGGAGCTGAGGTGCCAAAAATGAAGGGGATTGCTACGTGATGGCCCAGACTGACTCAAGACCATCCCTCTGTGCTACTTGCAGTGGAAGCTAAGATTACTTGGTTGTGGCAGACATGACCAGTGTTCCCTCTAAGCTGAGTTAGTGTGAGCTAGCTCACAGGTTTTTAGCCTCCGGCTCACACATTTTTGTGTTTGCTCAGGAAGGATGGCTCCAGAGCAATGCTCCCTCTAAGCTGTGGAATCATATGAGCAAAAATTCTACTTTGTGAGCTACTGATATTAAAGTTGTGAGTGAGCAATTTGGCTACTGCTTAAATTAGTTTGCTCTGGAGCCCTCCTTCCTGAGCTAAGACAAAAAAACTGTGAGCTGTAGGCTAAAAAAAACTGTGAGATAGCTCACACTCACTCAGCTTAGAGGGAACACTGCTCCAGAGAAAACTAATTTATGCATTAGTCAAATCGCCCGCTCACAACTTTAATGCCAGTAGCTCACAAAGTAGCATTTTTGCTCACAAGGCTCTGCAGCTTAAAGGGAACATTGGACATGACTCATCAGGAATTAAAGGCAGACATCTGAAAAGTGGCCACCCGTTTAAGAATGGTCATGGGAGCTGCATTGCCAAACATGAAGGGAAGTGAACTATCCTGGGTAACGTCTCCAGAACATCTCTCTGCTATTTGAAATGGACACAAAGGATGACTCATGATAAACCAGCAAAGTGGAGGCAGCACAGAATGGGAGGGAGGAAAATATACACTCTATTTCAAAATGAAGGGGATTCAATGGCCTCCCTATCATAGGGAGGTACCAGAGCCAGTATGGTAATAACATCTAGAATGCTGGACAAGGATAAAGGAGAACCAGGTCTGAGTCCCCAGTCTGCCACGGAGGCTTACTGGGTGACCGGCCAGTTATACACTTTCGTCCTAACCTACCTTACAGGCTGGTTGTATGTACAAAAGGAAGGAGAGGAGAATGATGAAAGCCACTTTGGGTCCCCATTGGGGAGAAAGGTGGGGCATGACATTTGTTGTAAATCTAATTTTGCTTACAGTTCTCCAAAAAAAAAGAAGAAAAGGACAATTGCTCTTGTTGCTTCTTCATCAGGTGTTGCTGCAGTTCTTTTGACATGGCACAGCACTGCTCATTCAGTATTCAAGCTACCATTAAATATGGTGAGAGCCCAAAGAGACTGGCAAGCAGAAAGCAGAAACCCTGGTTTTTAATAACCCCTCAATCCTGTGAGCTGGCAGAATCCTCAGTAAATGAAGGCAGCTACTGTTAAATGTTGGGGGGGGGGCAATGTTCTCAAATTGGTTCCAGCAACCAAGTATCTGTGTTTTTGCTGTCCAGAGCACTCTGGGTGCAGACTCTGTCCCCAGAACTGGTTTCTTCATGGGAACAAGTGCTACTGGATCTCCGAAGAAAATCGAACCTGGCATGAGAGTGAAAAAGACTGCAGAGCAAAACTGTCTGACATGCTGGTGATAGAGGATCAGGATGAAGTGGTAAGCATTCATTCGCATCCACATCCCATAGATGTGCTCTGGGATCTTTGCAGCACAACTGGGGATGTATTTCCCTATAATATCCATCACTTGCAATCATTGATAACTGCTCAGGACCACATCTTATATGCATTTGTTTTATGATTGGGTTTATCACTCTGATTTTCCTTGAAATGTCACCTGATTAGCGGTCAGATACTTGCCAAGAAACAAACATAGGAACATAGAGCTGGAAGGGACCTCCAGGATCATCTAGTACAACCCCCTGCACAATACAGGATATTCACAGCTACCCCCCCCCAATGTTCCCTCTAAGCTGAGTTAGTCTGAGCTAGCTCACAGTTTTTTAGCCTCCAGCTCACACATTTTTGTCTTAGCTCAGGAAGGATGGCTCCAGAACAAACTAATTTATGCAGCAGCCAAGTCACTCACTCACAACTTCAATGCCAGTAGCTCACAAAGTAGAATTTTTGCTCACAAGATTCCACAGCTTAAAGGGAACATTGCCCCCCCCCATTCCCCCAGTGACTCCTGCTCTATGCCCAGAACAAGGCAAGAAAAACCTCCAGGATCCCTGAGCCAATCTGGCCTGGAGGAAAATTCCTTCCTGACCACAAAGTGACGATCAGCATTACCCTGGGTATATGAGAAAGGACCAAAAGAGCTGAGCACTGACTCATCCCTTCCTGACCCCTCTCTCTCACCATCTGCCTAAATTCACAGAGCATTGCTGTCAGATAGCCATGTAGCCTCTGCTTTAGAACCTCCAGAGAAAGGGCGATTCTGCATCTGGCATTCGCTGCACATTTTCTCAACTGGGAGGAAAAGGTGCATCTCAAAACCACACTCAGATACCCTGGGGCCATGCGGTACTGACTGTGATGTCATCCCTGAACAGCCATAAATCTATGTCAAAGGTACCATAAAACCCAATGATCAAATAAATTGAAAGTGGCCTGCAGTGTAGAACTGAGGTGTCAGACTCATTTGTTATGAGGGCTGACTCTGACATAAATGTCACTTTGTCTGGCCGGGCCATGTGTGCCATAAAACATAATGCCAGGTACCAGAGATATAAACTGTAGAAAGGACAGCAGCTGGTAAGCTCCGAGTTGATGTATCCTCACTGCAAGGCCTCATGGGCGGGGGGAGGGGCAAAGGAAAACCGATATGGACAGACTAGAGACCCAGCAGTGCAGCACTGGGCAGACGCTCCCACACTATTTAACTGCTGCAGATGAGGTTGTTCCACCATGCTGAAACCACAATTGTAGTGGCTTTGCCCACTCCCTTCGAGCAGTCTCCTGTTCCCTCCCTTGCACTAATTGCTTGTGGGCCACATAAGAGCCCTGGACAGGCCTGTTTCGGCCCCTGGGCCTTCTGTTTGACACTCCCGGTGTAGAGGGTATCATAAAATCTGATGATCAAAGAATGCGACGCAGAGAGGAATTTCTGTTCCAGCATGAGTTTGTTTTTTTTTTTTAAAAAAAAGCAGAGGGCCCTGTTAGGGCTGCCAATTCTCCCCGGGGGGCGGATAACTTCCCCCGCTTTGGAGGCCCGATTTCCGCCACAGCGGAATCGAGCCCCGGGGGAAACCCCACCCCGGCGTGCACGTCAGCCGGAGGTGATGTGATGACGCCAGGCACGCTGGGGGCGGGGCCAGAGCCATCTGAGGGGAAAAACAGCAAGAACTCATTAGGATTGGCTACATTAGGGCTGTGTGGCCTAACATGCAAAGGAGTTCCTGCTCCAAAAAAAGCCCTTTGTTTTGACAACAAACAAGGTAAACAGAATAAGAAGCAAAAGGTGGGTGTGGCTGGATGACCACACTTCTGGACTAATATGCTAATGAGCTATGCTGTCAGGGGTGTGGGTGAATATGCTAATGAGTTCCTGCTGTTGGGTGTGGCCTATTATGCTAATGAGTTCCTGCTGGGCTTTTTCTACAAAAAAAGCCCTGATTATGCAGCAGTGCAGGGTCTCTCTTTTGGGAGCTAATGCAGGGTGAGTGGGCATAGGCTGACTATTTCCAGGCATCTGCTAGCTTTCATATGAAGCTGCAGTATACCGAGCCAGATCATTGGTCAGCTCAGCTTTTTCTGCTAGGAGTGGCAGCAGCTCTCCAATGTCTCGGGCCGAGTGAGATCTTTTATACAGACATGCCAGGGACTGAACATGCCAAGAAGATTATCACTGAGCCCTGGCCCATCCAAACGATGGTCTTCCAAAGCTTGATTTGTAAGCAATGCTTTGTAAATAAAGCAAAAAAAAAAACCTACCATAAACTTCCAGTGCACTGTCTTCCAAAGGAAAATGCTACCTTCCTGGAATGTCTCAACTTTGGGAAAGCAGAGAGCACTTAACAATATAGAATGCATAGCAATTTACATACTTGATTTTATGGTGGCTTGTCTAAGCCTTGGTGATTTGAATTGCTTGTGTGTGTGTGTGCATACATGTGTGTACATGTGCCTTTATAAATGAGTTGTGAGCAGGAAAAAACAGAGCCCAAATTTAGTGAGGTGGAGTTCTGCAAAATGAAATTTTGTGAAGAGGTTCACCAAGCCAACAATATCATTTCCAGGCGTTTATCCAGAGTATTGTTGAAGGAGCCCATCTTCTGTGGATTGGACTGACAGCAACACTGCCTGAAAGAAAATGGACCTGGGTTAATGGCACACCATTAGATGACAAAATGTGAGTATCCTCTGACCACAGGCCTTGAGCAAAGTCAAAAACAAACACAAGATAAAATACAAAATAGTAAGCATTAAAATACAACGTGGTGAATTACTCCTAACATTTAATGCCTCGAACTTTAATGGAGATCTGAAAGGCAACACCAGATCTACCGGAACACTGCGACCAGTCCTCTATAGACCCTCATTACTCTCACCCCATTCCTTTCCCTGCTGCTTATGATGGCTGATCATCGAGGAGGTCATTCCATGCATGCATATGCAGTATCATACATACAGCAGCTTCAGCTGGAGGCAAAACCATCCATTGCAAACAGCAAGTGCACTCATAGACCATGCTTAGAAGATTATCTTCTAAGGAAGTCTGCCTGTGACATTCTGAAAGTGTCCATATAATAAACAAATAATGTGCAGAATCGATCCAATCAAAAGATATGATACACTACGTCTTGTGCTTGCTAAAACAGAAAGTTTTGATCTAACAATACTTATCACGGGTGGTAGGTGGCCGAGTTAACTTGGTGCTACTGGACTCTTACTCTTATCACAGGTGGAAATGTTCCATTGGACCCAAAACTTTGTATCCATCAGGTACTTTCCTAATAAAATAGATTATAAAGAAAATGAGAAACAAATGCCGAGGGTGAGTGCAGGATGGGTTCCCCTTCTTTGGCTTCCGTGTGTCATTAGCTTTTTCCTTCATTCTCCAGATCGCAAGGTATCGGTCCAGTTGAAGCAGACTCCTGTGGGCAACTGAATGAAAACCGAATTGTACCTGAAGCCTGTAGTGCTGTAGCCAGGTGGATCTGCAAGACAGATTCTCTCCTAATATAATATATATATAGGATCTCAGCATGCAGTCCTATGAGAAATCATTCAACCATGCGTGGTTGAGATGTTTTGCACATGACTGGATGCTTCTGGGAATTTCTAGACTCCTGCACTCTTCTGCTCCTCCTCTTTTTTGCCTTCTCCATCTCAGGTGATGCCATTAATGAAGTTGCTGTGATGTCTTAGCCAATGCAGTTGTCAATACCTGAGCTGATGTGATGCCACGGAGTTGCTGAGCAGCCTTCTGTTGGTCTGGGGACACCTTCGAGCTGGGATTCTGCGGTCCACACGCACCTTTTTATCATAAACCTCCAAGTTAAGGCCTCTTGAATGGCATCTTGTTTTTGCAACTTGATGAGCAATGGTCAGTGGCCACACAGGGATGACACATTTTAATGCTACATAAAATAACTAAACATTGACTTGAAACAAACACCTGTTATGGGCAGTGTTCATCTTCATTTTTTAATGTACCAGTGCAACATGCAATTTAGATTCTTACAGATGTTCTACTATTTAAAACATTTACATTTGCTAGTTAAAAGTTGTTTTTAGCACTATTATACAAGACTAAGTTTGAGACTAGGGATTGGTGAACTTGTAAAATATACATTCTTTGGGGGTCTACAGTTGTCCCACACTTTCTACAGTGAACACAGAAGCAAAAATGTCATGGTGCTTCTCTGCTGTCAAGAAGAAGGGATTGGATTTATATCCCGCCTTTCACTTGGAGTCTCAGAGCAGCTTACAAGCTCCTTTCCCGTCCCCTCTCCACAACAGACGCCCTGTGAGGTAGGTGTGGCTGAGAGAGCTCTCAGAGAACTGCTCTTTCAAGTACAGCTATTACAGAACTATGGCTTGCCCAAGGTTATTCAGCAGCTACAAGTGGAGGAGTGGGGAATCAAACCCAGTTTTCCCAGATTAGAGTCCGCACACTTAACCACTACACTAAACTGGCTCTGCCATCTGCATCAACCCATCTGCCTTTAGCAATCTCTTTATTCCTTGGTCATCCAAAGGCCCCACTGCTTCTCTGGCTGGTTTTCTGCTCCAAATATATTTTGAAAAAGGTTTATTGTTTGTCTTGATGCTTTTAGCAAGCTGCTCCTCAAATTTTCTTTTTGCATCCCTAATTATTGATTTACACTTCTTTTGCCAGTGCCCGTGGTCCCTTCTGTTCAATTCATTGGGGCAGACTTTTTAAAAGATGCATACAAACATTGGAGCTTACCTGAAGGTTTCTTCTCTTCAGTGGGGTGAAGTCATCCACACCCCATCACTATATGTGTGTGTCTTTATATTTATATATATTTATTCGGACGCAAAATCTGTTATGGAGCTGGGCTATACTAAGATTGGAGAGTCAGCCTCGCTCTGAGCCAATACAGTCCACACAAATTTGCATAGCCCTGCCTGGAGTGAGAGGAGTCATGACCTAACCAGTTTGGATGGCTTTGCCCCACTGAAAAAAGGAAACCTTCAGGTAAACTCCAATGTTTTGTACAGTTATACATTATACATTATATGGTACATAGGGTGATTCTGCATCTGGCATTCACTCCACATTTTCTTAACACCAAGGAAAAGGTGTAGCTCAAAACCACATTCAAATACCCCGGGGCAATGCTGTACTGACTGCAAAGTCACCCCTGAATGGCCATTTAAAAAGTACCATAAAACCCGATGATCAAAGAAAGTGAAACCAGCATGCAATGCAGAGGGGAATTTCTGTTCCAACATGGGTTTTATAAAACAACGGAGGGAAAAGCCAATGCAGAATTGCCCATAGCAATATACTGGTGGTGATGGAAAGGGCCGTGAAGTCACAGCTGACATGGCAACCCCAGGTGAGGGTTTATATGTCTGTCCAATCCAATCCAGAGATTACTGGAAACTAGGGTTGCCAAATGCAGCCGGGGGGCGGGGAATCTCCCGCTTCGGAGCCCCGATTTCCGAGCTCATCGGGGGGAAACCATATGGGAGCTTGGCCACGCCCCCAATGTCAGCATGTCACACGTCACTTCTGGTGACGTGCTGCCAGGCACGCGCGCACATACGACCAACTCCCGGACCGCGGCGACGCTCCCCCGCCGCAAGGGGTAAGAGCACTTGGCAACCCTACTGGAAACAAGTGGTGGAAATATACCCAATCGCCTATTTACATATCCACCACATGTGGAAAAAGTCTGCCCTCTGTACCTCACAACACCAGCACTTACTATTCGCAGTTCTTTAGATTTTGCTAGTCAGAAAGGGGTTCAATGCCATCAATACATCATTTTCATCAGGCTTTCCTTATAAAACAGGCAAATTGTAAAGGTGGCTCCATATGTAAACGTAGACCACCACTTTTTATTATCTAAATCACTACCAATAGCTTTTTTGCCATCTTATAAGAAAACTATTATCAAGTTCAAGTAATACATTCAACAGCATGTTATACACATTCCAAAACAAAAACTGTTCTTCACACATGGTTAACATTTTCTTAGATTTTGACATAGGTTGTAACATAGAACCTTTTTGTAACATGTATGTGTGTGTTAAGTGCCGTCAAGTTGCTTCCAATTTATGGCGACCCTATGAATCAACATTCTCCAAAATGTCTTATCATTAGCCACCATTCTCAGCAGTTGATGAAACCTGGAACACCTTTTACCAACCAGGGCTAGGTCTTTTTTTTTTTTTTTTAGTAGTTTATTTACATTTTTCCAGGTTATACAAACATACATACATTTTCTTCTTTGTTAACATTTGGGGTTAAATTTTATAGATTTTTCTCATACCATTTTATGGCTTTATGCCATTTCTGGTTAAATTTGTCTTCTAATTTACCAGCCAAATACATATTTAATTTATCCATCTCTATTATCTCAAACAGTTTGTTTATCAGTTCTTCCCTTTTTGGTATATTATCTGATTTCCAGTTTTTAGCAATACAGATTCTTGCCATTGTATTTATATATACAATAATACATGATTCATTGTATTTAATGCCGTTGGGTAAGATATTTAGCAAATAAATTTCAGGGTTTAGAGGTAAATCGATTTCTGTTATATCTTTTATCAGTTGTTTTGTATTTTTCCAAAATCTTTGAATTTTATCACATTTCCACCAGATGTGTAGGTGTGTCCCTATATTGTTCTTGCATCTCCAGCAATTCGCTGAGACATTTGTATAGCACTTTTGTAGCCTATCTGGGGTCCAGTGCCAGCTGTGTATCATTTTTAGAATGTTTTCTTTGTACGGTATTGCTCTTAAAAGTTTAATAGATTTCCAAGATTTTTCCCACTCTACTCTCTTTATTTTACGCCCCAAGTCCTTTTCCCATTTAATTCTTCTTCTACTAATAGATTATATATTTTCCCTATCTGTTTATCTGTCTCTCGTAACCAAATTTTATCTAGTTGTGTTTCATTAGCGTAAAAGCCTTGTTTTTTATCTCTGGTGAATCTTGAAATTAATTGGTTTCTTTCCCATATTGATAAATTTACCTGCAAATCTTGCAAGTTTTCCCAGGGCTTTAGTTCATTTTGTTCGTTTAATAAAGTCTTGTATGTTATATTTTTCTCTTCTGTCATTAATGACGGCAATACAAAAGCCTCGATGGGTGATATCCACTTTGGTATTTTTCCATAAGTTTTCTCTTTTATCTGTCTCCATATTTGCATTAGGGGTCCTCTTATTGTATGATTTGAGAAGCTTTTCTGTTTATTATCTTTGTCATACCACACATAGGCATGCCAGCCCATGTGTAGGTCATGACCTTCTATTTTTAACAATCTTTTGTCTTCTAATAATGCCCAGTCTTTTATCCATCCTAGTGCTGCGGCCTGATAATAGAGATTCCAATCTGGGAGGCTCAACCCTCCTCTCGTTTTCTTATCTTTTAGAAATTTTTGTTTTATTCTGGCTTTTTTCCCTTGCCAGATGAATTTTCTTGTCAGTTTATTTAATTCCTCATTGAATTTCT